CGTAGCTTGTCCGCGGGCAGTCTGCATTCTCCTTTTACAGAGTCAATCTCCAGGCCGAGGAAACTAAGGCATGAGGTGGGGCCAACCGTCTTATCCCCTGCCAAAGGAACCCCAGAAGAGTGTGCTATCCATTGAAACACCCTCAATATCCACACCACTCAGATCCTTCCGGCCCTACACACAAGAAATCATCGAGGTAATGCACGATTGATCCCCCAGCCGACTCCCGTCGTACCACCCATTCCAAAAAGGTGCTAAACTTTTCGAAATAGGAACACGAGATGGAACAGCCCATCGGTAAACACAGGTCTATGAAGAAACCCCCTTCGAAGAAGCACCCCAAAAGGTGGTGACAACCCGGATGAATGGGGAGCAGCCGAAATGCTGCCTCCACGTCCACCTTTGCCATCAGTGCACCGTGTCCCGCTCTCCGAACCAACTCGACCGCATGATCGAATGATGCATAGGATACGGAACACAGCGCCGCGTCGATATCATCATTTACTGATGACCCCCGTGGGTGCGATAAGTGATGTATCAGCCGAAATTTCCCTTCTTCCTTTATAGGGACCACCCCCAGCGGAGACACCCTTAAATCTTCTATCGGTGGGGATGGAAACAGCCCCGCCATCCTCCCCATCTGGACTTCCTTCATTAAGTTTTCCAGCACTATCCCCGGGTGGTCCCGGACTGATTTAAGGTTTGCACACATGGTTCCCAGACCTTTGACCTTGAATGGGATAACAAAACCCTCTGTAAACCCCATTCATAAGAACCTCGCCTCTTCCTGGTTACCGTACTGCCTTAACCACGGCAGCATCGCGCCGACCTTCACCGGCGGCGTTCCCAGTCGCCACCGCCGTGGCTGTTGTCCCTGCTGCACCCCCGAAGTTTGATTTTCCTTTCTTAAAGCACCTGTTGACTCCATGATTTCCCCCGCATCCGGAACATTCATGTTTAAATCTACACGATGCCCCCCATTTGCACTGCCCTTCATTGTACAGCCAGCAGAACCCTTTCTTCTGTCCGGCCGGTACAGTGCTTCCCGTGGCTGTACCGGCCGCCCCTTGAAATGGGGCATTTTTCTGGGCCATCATTATTCTCATCCATAAAGGCAGGTCCATCTGATCCCACCTCATACTAGGATTCGCTGCCAACCGTTGGCAGGAATTGTTCATCGTACCGCCACCATGCTAATCCCCCATAAGTCCTGTAAGCGTCCCCTATCCCGTCCAAATAACAAAACAGCTGTGAACATCGTTCTGGGTACTTTTCCCCGACTACGCTCGCCAAAATACAGAAGGCTCTGAGCCAATTCCCAAAAGTCTTGGGTATCTTCCAATACCGCCGCTTTTTCCCCTCTTCTTCTTTTTTGGCGTCCTTCTTATCCTCTTCCTTCAAGTCGAAAAATTCCTCGAGTGGAAGTAAGGAGAAGATTTCCATGAATTCCCCCATCCCAATTTTTTCTTTTACCTCTGCTTTCAGGTGACATCCTAGTGGTCCCGCGAAGGACACATGCACGTTTTGCCGTGCCACGTCCACTATCTCACCATTCCCGACCGCCTGTTGGCCAGACCCGACTGCCTTTCCGGTTCCTGACTCACCGTCCCCTGTTTTGATGTCACCCGACTTGTGTGTCACCATCCTCTCCGCCCCTTGTTCTTTATCTCCCCCGTCCTCTGGCGACCATACCCTTCCAAACTGCAGGGTTGACCCCTCATCTCCCGCCCAGGAGTTAATGAAAGATTTTAAGCAACCCAATAAGGACCCAGTGTGTGGTGTACTTCGTGACTCACCGCCAGTGCCCCCGACCGTGGCCGGCCGCAGGGTTGCTGTCCTTCCGTCCGCCTTTTCAGACTCCTGTTGGACTGGCTCCTGTCCCTGCTCCTCCCCTGCTCTGCTGACCTCCTCTGGGTGCTGCTCCTGTCCCCTTCACTGCGCTACTCACTCCTCGCCTCCTGGCCCAGCTCCTCCTGCTGCGCCTCCTCGCCTCCTGGCTCCCGCTCGCCTCTGACCCCTCTGCATGGCTCCTTCCTCCTCAGCCCCTGCGGCTCCTCCATGTCCCTGCAACCTCCTGTTGCTGACCTGCCGTCTCCTCTCCTGTCATCCCGGCAACTTCCTGAGGGCAGGGATTCCCGTCTGCCCGGAGACGCTGCTGCCCCTGTCACTGCTACCTGTCCTGGACCTATTCCCTGTGAGGGTTAAGCCCATCCCTGACCTGCCATCTGCCTCTCCACCTGTCACCTGAGGGGGCGCTGGCGTCGAGCTGTCCTCAAGCACCCCATCCTCCTGCCCCTCAGTATCGCCACAAGGGGCGGACTCACCGGGGCGCTGAAGTTCCAGACCGTCGCGGCCCAGCTGCCTGGCTGCCATCCCAGCTGTACAGGATCCAGCCGTGTCCTTCTGCCTCCCGCCCGCGGACTTGCTGTGGGGCCTTCTCCCACCGGCGGGCTTCCGACTAGCGCCCATCCGGCGCACTCCGACTCTTGAGGCCCGTCCTTCCGCCTGGGCCACCTTTTCCCCACTTTACGGCGCTCGGCTCCTCCTCCTCGCCGCCGGCGGTGCTCCCAGGCTGAGTCGTTGGGGCGGACGTGCCCTCCTGGTCGGCCTCCTATCTGACACCACAGTGGGGGGAGCAGACGTGCTCGGGACCCCCAGTTGATCCTGCAGCCACGCCATCCCCTTCTCTTCCACCATTCTTCTCACACTGGCCAAGATTTCTTCGGCAGAAGCCATCCCTGCAAGAAAAAGAACAGACCACACAAACCTGACAAGTATCAAGTAAGTGTGATTTTGATTAAAAAGCCAGTTCACCAAAATGGCCGTTATTTAAACCCTTATTCTCCTCCCCCCCCTGTCCAGACATTACTTTTCCACACCACTTGACCTTAACTTCACCTGCCAACTCTCTGGCCCTGTCAAGGCCCACTCCCCCCCTGCGTTGCTCCATGGGCTTCAAATCAGCCATTATTATAAGCTTCGCCCTTTACACCTGGCAGTCAGTATAGAGAGAGCCACCTCCATCTTAGCTCCCTGTCAATCATTGTTATAAGCTCCGCCCATTACACCTGGCAGTCAGTATAGAGAGAGCCGCCTCCATCGTAGCTCCCTTTCAATCATTGTTATAAGCGCCGCTCTTTAGACCTAGCAGTCAGTATAGAGAGAGCCGCCTCCATCTTAGCTCCCTGTCAATCATTGTTATAAGCTCCGCCCTTTACACCTGGCAGTCAGTATAGAGAGAGCAGCCTCCATCTTAGCTCCCTGTCAATCATTGTTATAAGCTCCGCCCTTTACACCTGGCAGTCAGTATAGAGAGAGCCGCCTCCATCTTAGCTCCTGTCAGTCATTGTTATAAGCTCCGCCCATTACACCTGGCAGTCAGTATAGAGAGAGCCGCTTCCATCTTAGCTCCCTGTCAATCATTGTTATAAGCTCCGCCCTTTACACCTGGCAGTCGGCATAGAGAGAGCCGCCTCCATCTTAGCTCCATGTCAATCATTGTTATAAGCTCCGCCCTTTACACCTGGCAGTCAGTATAGAGAGAGCCACCTCCATCTTAGCTCCCTGTCAATCATTGTTATAAGCTCCGCCCTTTACACCTGGCAGCAGTATAGAGAGAGCAGCCTCCATCTTAGCTCCCTGTCAATCATTGTTATAAGCTCCGCCCTTTACACCTGGCAGTCAGTATAGAGAGAGCCACCTCCATCTTAGCTCCCTGTCAATCATTGTTATAAGCTCCGCCCTTTACACCTGGCAGTCAGTATAGAGAGAGCCACCTCCATCTTAGCTCCCTGTCAATCATTGTTATAAGCTCCGCCCTTTACACCTGGCAGTCAGTATAGAGAGAGCCACCTCCATCTTAGCTCCCTGTCAATCATTGTTATAAGCTCCGCCCTTTACACCTGGCAGTTAGTATAGAGAGAGCAGACAGAGATGGGAGACATGAAACAATGTTTTGTTTTTTTATTTCTCCTTCTTGTTTCTATTGTGTGTCCTGTCTGTAAGTGGACAGAACTGGATTACAATGTCATTCGCTAAATATTTAATATACATTTTAATGAAAACAAAGCATCAAATGTAAACAATGTTAATAGAAGTTATTGGTGATTTTAAATGCTTTACTCGGAGGTTTGATTTCCAGTTAGTCTTTAAGATCTTATATAGGGAGATGGTTGTCGCATGCTAACAACCCAAAGGCGACCATGGCCCCAGGAACAATAACACAAAAGATGGGACAGGGCATGAGGTCCAAGGCAGGTTTAATTGGACAGGTGACAACCCCTTTAAGATGGCTTTCTAACCTGCTGAGCAATATTTTTGAAACAGATGAATGAATATCCCTAAACATTATTCTTAAAGGATCACTATAGGGTGAGTAACACAAACATGTATTCCTGACCCTATAGTTCTACACCCACCATTTAGGTGGCTTGCCCCCCCTTGGCCCCCTTATAAACGTTTAAAACTCACCATATTCCCAGCACCGCACGGGTCTGCTGGCGCTGGCTCTGCACCTTTTGTGACATCATCAAAATGGCCGATTTTTAGTAAAGCCAATGTTTTCCCCAAGGGAAAGCATTGGATTGGCTTAAATCGCCACGGGGCGGGGCCAAATACTGTTTTGGCCAATCAGGACCTCCTCATAGAGATGCATTGAGTCAATGCATTTCTATGAGGAAAATTCAGCGTCCCCATGCAGAGGTGCCTCGCATGTTGCAAAAAAAATGTTTGGCTAAAAGGAATAGTGGTTAAAACTGAAAACATCAATTTAAATGAAAGCACGCCAGAAAAAAACTCCCCAGCCTCACGTTATATCACTTCACATATGAGATCATACTGTGTGTAAAAAGATGCGATTAATATCAGTTTTTTTCAGTCAAACTTTATATTAAACATTTCAGTTATTAAATTGTTTTTTTTTCAAAATGTTACTCAGTCTATTTTATCCTTCAAGTCAAAATGGTGAATTTGTTATATCACATCCTTCACAGGTATATTCCCTATGGTTGTTCTCACTCATAAAACACAAGGAAGTGTTGCTGAGCAGGAGAGAGCATTTAGAAATCTTGGGGTGGAGCGGATCTTTGCCTTTGAGAATTATACCCCAATGGATAATATAAAGACACGAGGAAGACATGAAGATGTCCTGAGGTTCCTACAAGAAGTTATTAAGGATGTGCAGTTTCGATTGTCTGAACCAAGAAATCCAGAAAATGAAATGTTGCAGCACAAACATATTGTGTTTGATTACATCAGGAAAAGGGAAGGAGAACAAAGAGTGAGAAGGCAAATGGAGGAAGAGAGAGAGAGACAAGACCCAAGGCAAAATAGAGTCAGACCGGAAATTGTAGGACAAAGAAGAAAGCATAGTGTGGATGTGAAGATGGAGGAAGAGATAAAGAGTGAAGATAAAAGAAGGAATCTGGAAGATCAACTTAGAAACATACAGGGATTACTCGGGAAAGGAAACCCTGAGAATGTGTATGAGAACGAAACATGGGACAATCAAACAAGTGGAAAGTCAAAGAAGGGAAAGAAACCAAAGGAAGGGAAAGATGCTTGCTCATTACAATAAACATGGACAATAAAGGGATTGGGAAAAGCAGGAAGGGGCAGATAGAGTCGTAAGATTACATCAACAGCATTTATGTGTGATTTTGCAATTAATTAGGCATAATAAAGCAGTTTATATTGTTATTCCAGGTCAAATAAACTTTGATTGTGGGCAAGATGTAATAAATGTTTAGCAATCAGCAGGCATTTTCCATGGGTTTCATGGTGATTGCTAAAATCGTAACACTTTTTAAGTATAGACCAATATTGTTAATACCAATGATCTGAAACTGTTAAAAAAAAAAATTATGAAAACAAGGGACTAGACAGGGCTGCCCCCTTGCACCCCTTTTACATATATTGACTCTTTAACCATTAGCAGAAATGATAAGAAAAAATGGACAAATAAATTACCGTATATATACTCGAGTATAAGCCAACCCGAATATAAGCCGAGGCCCCTAATTTTCAAAAAATGGGAAAACGTATTGACTCGAGTATAAGACTAGGGTGGGAAATGCAGCTACTGGTAAATTTCTAAATAAAATTAGATCCTAAAAAAATTATATTAATTGAATATTTATTTACAGAGTGTGTATATAATGAATGCAGTGTGTATGAGTGCAGTGTGTGTGTGTGTGTGTGTGTATGAATGCAGTGTGTGTGTGTGTGTATGAATGCAGTGTGTGTGTGTATGAATGCAGTGTGTGTATGAGTGCAGTGTGTGTGTGTAGGTGCAGTGTGTGTGTGTATGAATGCAGTGTGTGTATGTGTGTGTGTGTGTGTGTATGAGTGCAGTGTGTGTGTGTATGAATGCAGTGTGTGTGTGTGTGTGTGTGTGTGTGTGTGTTGCAGAGCCTTGGTGGGGGGTGGGCATTTTTATTATTTTTTAAATTATTTTTAATTTTTTTTTTTTTGTTTTATTAATATTTTGTTATTTTTTATTTTATTATTATTTTTAATATTATTTTATTATTTATTTATTTATTCGTCCCCCCTCCCTGCTTGTTAGCTGGCTGGGGAGGGGGGCTCTCCTTCCCTGGTGGTCCAGTGGCATTGACTGTTCAGTGGAGGGGGCTGGCAGGAAGCACTTACCTCTCCTGCAGCTCCTGTCAGCTCCCTGCTCCTCCTCTGCGCCGGTCCGTGCAGCTCTTCTCTCAGCTCACACTGTAAGTCTCGCGAGAGCAGCACTATGACCCCGCGGCTCTCGCGAGACTTACACTGGGAGCTGACAGAGGAGTTGACCGGACCGGCGCGGAGGAGCAGGGAGCTGACAGGAGCTGCAGGAGAGGTAAGCAACAGCTCTGCCAGCCCCATTGTCTGTATTATGGCAATGTAAGTTGCCATAATACAGACAATTGACTCGAGTATAAGCCGAGTTGGGGGTTTTAAGCACAAAAAATGTGCTGAAAAACTCGGCTTATACTCGAGTATATACGGTAGATTAATATTGAACATTTCAACTGTAAGATAAGCCTATATGCTGATAAAAATAATCTTAACTCTAACTATTACGTTTCTAATTTTAAATTAAATATAGGTAAGTCACATTTTATGCTGATACATTTAGACCTTAAACTAATAATTTATTTAGCAAATAAATATCCATTTGCATGTTCCTTACAGGGTTTCAAATACATGGTACTCTATATCTTTCCAAAAATTGTTGACATGGTTGAACAAAACTTTGAAAAAGATCTTTATAAAGAAATTAATATTTAACCAATTTATTCTATGGAATCATATTAGGTTTTCTTGGTTAGGTAGAATAGAATAAATATAATAAAATCATCCCAGGATTGCAGCAGCCTATATTATAAGGAGGGAGGGGGGTGATCTTGCTTCCGTCATGTGGCTTAATTAAAATGCAGCTAAAGATGTTTCATTAACAATAAAATCACCTTATTTGAAAGATTTGTATATTACCTGGAGGAAATATATATATATATATATATAAATAAAAAATAATAATTGAAAACATTTCAAAATACAGCTCTATCAAAACAATTGAGAGCAATATACCAGATATATATTTGACAAATTTGACAAATCAAGGTCTGCAAAATATAGCAGATAAAATGGAAGGGATTAAGCTACTATCCTTTCCTAACCTACAAGTATGCTTTGATTTAACCTCAAAAGAAAGTTTTTCTTATTTGACAATCAAAAATCGAATTCATCATATGATCGTTTTTGCCGAAAATATTTTGAATTTAAGATAAATTAATTATTTTAAAAATGAATTTAAATTTAAATCCATTTCAAATTCTTATGAAATACTGAGGTTGCAGGACATAGAAGCCACGCCTAAGGTTTGGAAAAATTGGGATACTGCAATGAGTATAAATACACAGTTGGAACAATGGTATAGATCAATAAATTAAGTAAACAAATCATTTTGTTGGCTTAATATAATAGAAGTGCATTACACAATTCTACATCAATGGCTTATGGGTCCATTTATGATGAATAAAATAAACCCACAGAATTCTAAATTATGCTCGAGATGCAAACATGAGGAGGGAAATTCAGGACACAGCTGGTGGGGTTGTGGTCAAATGAAACCCCTTTGGAACATTGCTTCAAGTAAAATATCATTATTAATATGAAAAGAATTGGATAATAATATTAATGTAATTATCTAATACCCTAATATATATAATACATAAATATATATTATTATATCTAAAGTATTTAATAATTCAACTATGGCCTCAAAAATGGCTATTCCAACATTATGGAAAAGACGTTCCAACTTGGTCCCATGTAATAATGCAGCTTAAATATTTTTTTTACAAGAAATTGTCCCCATGCTGGATTCCCTATTCAGATAAGTTTAATGGATATTCCAGAAATCTAAGTAATATAACTTGTAACCGGTCTTGCTTTCTTTTTGGTGAAGAACAAACCAACCGCTGTTACTTAGCGTTCCCTGGACCATGGGACCATAATATCATAGGTTAATGGTGTACTGGGCTCTCAATGTCACTGTAATCTGCTCGATTTTAAAAACCAGATATCAAAGTTTCATCCTTTTTCATTGTATTGCACTTAGTAACATTTTTTTTTTAGTCCACTTCCCTTTGAACAGGAGAAATCCGAATGGTAACCAGTGAAGTGTTCCTGCCAATAGAACTGTCTTACCATTTTGCTCCAAAGTCGCTCTTCCTATAAAATTTTAATTTTCTCTTAAGAAGAATAAAATGGTTATGCAAATACACATTTCTATGAAGAGTTTATGAGATTTTCTCTTCAGAATAAACTTTAATAATATGTAACTTTACAAGTCCAGGCTCTATAAAATGGCTGCCATAAAACTGAAGTATGCATATTATGCAAAACAAACCTGTAATAAATATTTGAAGGAAACTTGGCTGAACTTTCTCTCTCTCTGTAAAAATGCTCCGACAGTTAATTTATCTCACAGGAAGGAATGCCAGGATCAGCAGTATGTGACGATAGACTGTGCAATGCCCAATGGGCCAGCTCTCATTACTGCACATCTCACGACATGGCATACTGCCAGGGTTTCAGAGGCAGTGTATGGATAATTCGTGCCAGAAAGTTGACATGTCTGCCTGGCATGCATGGGGTATAGCTGGACAGTGGTGTTAGCAAGATACTGCCAGGGTTTCAGAGAAGTTATTGGTGATTTTAAATGCCAGGGTTTCAGAGGCAGTGTATGGATCATTTGTGCCAGAAAGTTGGCATGTCAACCTGGCATGTATGGGGTATGTATGGCATGTATGGGGTATAGCTGGACAGGGGTGTTAGCAAGATACTGCCAGAGTTTCAAAGTTAGTGTATGGATAAATTGTGCCAGAAAGTTGGCATGTCAGCCTGGCATGCATGGGGTACAGCTGGGCAGTGGTGTTAGTCAGATACTGTCAGGGTTTTATATTTACATAGTGCTGATAAACTGTATCTGACTGGTATTGACATGAAAATCACTGAGAGAAAATTTCACTAAATGCTGAATAAATGGTTTTCCCTGAATACAGTCAGAGAAATTCCTCTGTGGATCAATGTATTAGCAACCAAATGCTAACTCACTCGAGAAAATGGATCCCTGCATTAATTCAATGGATATCATTGCTGAATTCAGCGTTCAATAAACAGAAATGTTATTCTATTATAATACTAAGCTAAATGATGTTATTGTATTCTGTTAATATTATTCTATTATAATTCTAAGATAAATGATGTCATAGTATTCTGTTAATATTATTCTATTACAATACTAAGCTAAATGATGTCAGCTCCTCTAGCTCCAAAAATAATAATTACATCCCCTAGTGTTTTGTAGACAGTGTTTGTAAACACATCATAAGGTACTGATGCTGACACTCTGTTTAGTGCTTACATCTTATTTGCCCACTGCAATCATTGATAACACAGGAGGGGGAACACAGGCAAGCTCTAGACCTGTGGACTTAATAGAAGAGGAAGAAAATCAGGGATGTGTTTTGTCCTCCAATTAGAAAAGAGCTGATTTCTGCTAAAATCTGCACTTTTATAAACTGTCCAAAAATTGACAAACTCCAGACACATAATCCACTCTAGCAAGTTAAAATGCTTTGTGCGTGCAGTGTTCCTTTAAGAAGTGAGGGGTCTGGTGAAAGCAGAGTAGTATTGTATGGATTTATTCTAAGCACTTTTTTGTTTTTCATTCTCCTTTGTATTTTTTTCTCGATTGTTTTTATTTTTCATTCTCCCCTTTTTTTTTTGTGTTTAATCAAAAACAAGTCACAAGCAAAGGCAGCTCAGCTGTGTCATTGAATTCACTTGCACAGCGCACACGTCTTTATTTAAAATATCTACACAATAAATAACCCTTAGTTTTTAAATACCATAAGAATGGTTAATGTTTCCACTGAACGTCAGGTAGCTTCCAGTAAGTGGTGTGGACATCTGCATTCCTATTTATTTTTCTATTTACTGATTTATTGCTTATCAAAATAAACTGGGTAGAACAATGGGGTGAGGAAGCTTTCAGCTCCCCCTGGCTTGTCGTGCCCTAATCTTTATGTTTTACTTGTGTGAGTTAAAAATGCAAAAATAATATTTTAAAATAACAGAAGAAAAATTCCAGAAATTCTTGCAAATCTTCAAACAACTCAGGATTTACAATGAGCTCTCAGCAAACCAGTGACTGCTGCTCTCTGCTTTCATATTACCGCGGAGTAGAATTGAGTGAACCCGAACTGTAAAGCTGTTTACAAAGTAATTTCTTTAGAATGAGACGTTATTTGATGAATTAACATAGTGTCTATAACTAATAAGCAATATACGTAGACACGCTAGACACTAACGTGTAAATCTCCAAAACAGGAATTTCAAATTTGCCTAAAATAGCCAAGTTGAAAAATCTTCAAATCAGCTGTGTTTTCAGTTCCATCATATTGTCTTATAATTTACATTTCTTCATAAATAATTTTTGAGTTTGACTGTATCACGCTTTGGGGAATAAACCTTTATTTGTTCCTGATCATTTAATTTTCTGTCAGGGTACCTGTTGGTGATGTATCCA